CTACATCCCTGAGCGCGACGCTCCGAAGCTGCACACTCTCATGACCACTGAGGTCGGGAAGTTTGACGCGGAGTACGCGGCTTGCAAGACGAAGGTTGAGTTCATCACCGCTTCGCTGAAGAGCATCGCGGATGCCGATATAGTCGAGGACAGAGCGCTGGTGTCGTACATCAAGAGTCCCCAGCTCCGCTGGCAAATCGCTTGCAAGTGGAAGGGCTCGAATCAGGTCATCAGGCTCTTCGGTTTGGCTTCAGGTTCTTTGACCACGGCACCTTCGACCGCGAGTCCTTCGACGGCGGGTTCGACGTCGTCAGCTGCGCAGGCTGCGCCGCCATTGGCAGACCAAGAGATGATCAATATCACGCTGAAGGACCTCGTGGAGCGGGAGACATCCAGGAAGCCATTTTCAGGGGATGTGGAACGCATCAAGACGCTAACGGAGATGCATACCATCATCGACGAGGAACTATTCGATTGCAACACGCCTGATGAACTTACTGAGCTGGTTGTGTTTTGGGAGGCGTGTAGCGCCATTGTCTCAGAGTTGCTGAATTCAGTGAAGGCCTCGCGCGGGTACGTGGACAGCCACGTCTCTGCCAAGAAGAAGAGGCAGGCCCGAGATCAGCGGGACGCCGAGAAGAAGAAGCAGAAGGAGGCCCCTGCGACGGTTAAGGAGGAAGCGAAGAAGGCGGCAGACATGATCAGGAGCAAATCGAAACCAGATACTCAGCAGGCCCCAGCGAAGAAGCTGATCTTTACCTCATCGTGGGCTAGCATCGAACCTGCGGCTACCACCACCAACGTTCCCGAGTCAGACTCCGAGATCTGGAACAGGCCGTTCATCGTCACAACGCACGACGATGTTACGCTCCTCTTGGGTGACGCCAGCCCTCAGAAGGAGCTCGCGGCGTTTTCGACTGAGTTCAAGGGGAAGTCCGAGGACAGGGGCCAGAAACCGCTTCAGGAGATCGGCAAAGACGGCGTGGGCCTGGGCGAAGTGACGAAATTATTTCAGAAGTGGCAGCCGCCTGTGCTCGACGTCAGCAGCGTCGACGGCGGCGCCGCGTTCATGGCCAGCCAGTGGAAACTCGCCTTCAAAGAACACATGTCGTACGTGGGGTTCAACCCGAACAGTGCGGCGATCCTCCGCGTTCTCGCTGCTGGGTGCTTGGAGGCGGTGCACATCAAGGTCAACAGCATCTTCACCGCCCCGGCGGCGGACAACTGCCCTGAGATCCTCAAGAAGCCGTTCCCAAAGGACCCGGCCGCAGCCAACTTCAAGGGCGCAGTGATCGACGCGATTCCGCTCATGGACTCACCAGCCTTGGCTGCCGCGAAGTTAGCAGGCGTTGTGATGTGCAAGATGTCCCAGGGCCAGGGACCGCTGGTATACGGTCCTACAGGGTGGCTCGCACTTGAGCAGTGCGAGGCAGGACAGCAGCTCAACTACGGCATTCGGAAGTCGTACATCACGAAGTGCAGCGAAGCGGCCGAGACCTACAGCTCGGTCATCTCCGCGTTCGCTGCCATGGGCAAGGACACGACCCGGATGGATACCATCCGCGCGCTCATGTGAGCCCATGTGCGAGGGAGGGATGAGAGGGATGAGAGGAATGAGAAGGAGGAGGAGGAGGAGGAGGAGGAGGAGGAAGGAGGAGGAGGAAGGAGGAGGAGGAGGAGGAGGGAGGAGGAGGAGGAGGAGGAGGAGGAGGAAGGAAAGGATGGCGGAGTCCAGAGCATTGAAATTCAGATTCAATGCTCCTTTTGTTAGTTGCATTTGCATGGGCTGGAGTGGGGACAACCCAGCCGCAGAGCCCGCCGTCGGCGTTCGTGCAAAGCCAGAAGTTCAGAGGAGGGCAGGTCGCCAGATTGAAATGACCATCGAACGAGTAGGAAGATCAGGAGGATAATAAGAGGTAAGAAGGGGGAGGAGGATGGGGTGGAGGGCCAGAGGGAGAAGAGGGGAGGGGTAGAAGGAGGAAACAGCGATGGATGGAAAGAGGATTCGTGCTATTAGGAGGGGGATGGGGAGCAAATGTAGTAGGAGGAGGTGGAGGAGAATGGAGAATGTCAAGGAGGTGTAGGAAGAGGAGGAGGAGGAGGAGGAGGAGGAGGAGGTGGAGGTGTAGGAGGAGGTGGAGGAGGAATGGAGAGGCCGAAAGACGAGGACGGGGCCCCCGAATCGCTGCCGCCAGGCGGATTGAGCCGCGCGCGGGCCAAATCGGCCCGGAGGCGGCGCGGAGGGACTGCCGCCCTCGGCCCGCTTCGGAGAGGGAGAACGGGCCTCTTCTCCCTCTTCTGGCTGCCGCCGCTGCTGCTCCTTTCTCCTTCTCCGCCTTACCTACCCTTCTCCTCCCTCTCTCCTCCTTCGCCCTCCTCCTCCCTCCACTTCCCCCCCTTTCCTCCTCCTCCGCCTCCTCCTCATCCCTCTCCGTCGCTTCCTCTTTGTTTGCGACTATCAGCACGGCGGCCTCAACGAGGCGGATTGAGCGCGCGCGCGGGCCAAATCGGCCCGGAGGCGGCGCGGAGGGACTGCCGCCCTCGGCCCGCTTCGGAGAGGGAGAACGGGCCTCTTCTCCCTCTTCTAGCTGCTTTCCGAAATGTTGCCTCAGCATAAGCTCCAAACGAGTCACGCTTTCGATAAGCAACAACGAACACACAGCAAAATTAACATTATGAACGTCGAGCACGAACAAACATCGCGTTGGGGTCAGCCTTTGATCACATACTCTATATACCGAGGTCGTGCGTTTACGACGAGAGCGGAATGCGGAGGATCGAGCAACTTGTTCGGTAGTGAATCGATTCATGCGTCTCGCGCACGTTTTGTCATACTTGTGTGATTATCACTTTGTCGCAGGCCCCCTCGGTCCGAAACGTGAGCGTTAGGGCCTTATTCGCAAGATAAGGCTCGGTTCCTGTCCGAGGGCCTCAAAACCCCCCTGTACGAAAAGCTAAATAGGACATCTTGAAAGTTGCCATGTCTATCTCTCTCTCTCTCTCTCTTCGGTGTGCCTTTATGTCTCTCTCTTTTTTTCGTGTTTCTCTCTCTCTCTCTCTCTCTCTCTCTTTTTCTCTCTCTCTCTCTCTCTCTCTCTCTCTCTCTCTCTCTCTCTCTCTCTCTCTCTTCTTCTCTCTCTCTCTCTTTCTCTCTTCTCTCTCTCTCTCTATCTCTCTCTCTCTCTCTCTCTCTCTCTCTCTCTCTCTCTCTCTCTCTCTCTCTCTCTCTCTCTCTCTCTCTCTCTCTCTCTCTCTCCCTCCCCCCATCACCAATTATACCCATGTTGATTATCAACTCTTCCTTTGAAGATGGGACCCCCGTGTGGATATCTATATATGTATGCATGGATTGGCCCCGTCGTTGCCGCGATGCTTGTTCTGATCTCTAGGCCGTTGTATCGGCAAATATTCTGGTAGTGAGATAAGTGGAGCACGTGCAGAGCAGGAAACATATGCACATTTGGTCAGAGAGAGGCACATGCAAACAAATTTTGGCATCCCGACGTCTGTCCACTCGTGAGTTACATTGCGTGCCCAATGTGCAAATCCAAGATTACGTCGCCCCCACACATCCTTATCACCCACGAGAGTGGCCTTCGCGGCGCGCGGCTGCCAGCAAAACTCTCTTTTCCGCGGCGGGGGCCGCCCGCCCGGTAGTTGTGCCTCAACACGCTGGACGCCGAAGTTTCGATGCCGCTGGTGCGCCGCAGGTCGGCCACAGGCAGAGGGGTGTAGGAGCCCGTTTCTTTTTTGCTTGCGGCATGATGGGCGTCATGGCCCCCGCTCTCCCCCCCCCCTTTATAACGCAACGCTCCCCCTCCCCAGTGCGCTCTGGGCACTGCCGCCGCGCGCCCCCCCCCCACCCATGACGCCCGCCATCGCCGAACATAGAGAAACGCGCTCTAGGGGGAAGGTGGGAAGGTTTCTTACATGCACCCTGCTCCTTAGGAGACGCCGGCTCTTCTACTATAGATGCATCGTTGGCGTCCTCTAAGAAACAGCCTCCTTCTGAGAAGCCTCCCCCTCTTCCCCCTACCCCTTGCGCGCGCAGTCAAGTAGGAGCAGTTTTCCCCGAAACGTGTCTGCGGAATCACGTATGGCGAGGCGCCGCTGCGGAGGTTTTTGCTGCATCGGGCGCGGAGCCCATGCTTTCACGTTGAGGCTGGCGTTCGGTGGTGTATGCTCGGTCATACATGTCAGGCGACAAACTTGCCGCCGGGCGTGGTCGGTCATTCTGGCCCAGAGTGCAGGGTGCACCTTTGTGCCTCGCTTATGCCCCACTCCTCTTGTTTCCAATTGTATGGGATTTGGGACTGGGAGCGGCCTCGGAGACGTTGCCTGGCCAATGAAAAGGAGGAGTTAACTCGGGCGATATCTGGGACTCACGAAAGTGGAGCGACGTCGAACCCGTCGCAATCTTCGGTCGCACATGCTCGATTGACTTCGCGTGCGCGCGCACCCTGCAGCATTTCTGTCGCCGTTCTGGGGTCGAGGGTGGGACTGTGTTTCAGGCCTTCCCGTCCACTTTATCAGTTTCCGTGGTGGTTCCGCTGCGCCTGTTGCCTGAGGTACCCGCCGCTCGAGCCTTGTGCTGGGGGGTGGGAGCGGTTTCAGAGACTGGTCGCCTGAGCAATGAGACAGGAGGCGCAGGTTCTACGAACAGCCTTTTTCCATGCCCGATTCCGTCTTGAGGTGCAGTTGCCGACCAGCTGCGTGCGCTGACTGAGCCCTTTCTTCTTGGGATGTCCAGAGTGGGGGTTGTTGGTTCCCCCCTTCACGGAGGAGAAGGACGATGAGGAGCAGGATGGAGAAGAGGACCAGGATGAGGACGCGGGAGGATGCAGGAGGATCTGCGCAGGATGGTTCTACATATCAGAACACCGTTGGCCGGGAGCAGGAGGTGAAGGGCGACGACGACGAGGACGGAGGAGGATGGATGGAGGACGCTTGAGGATGGATCGATGAAGGACACTTCTGCTTTTGATAGAGCCGTCGAGCAGGAGGACGAGGCCGAGACCGACGCCACGGCGGGGGAGCCCGCTGCGGCCCCGGCCAAGGCCGCGCGCAGCTGCGGCATGCCGTTCGCGCCAGGCGTGGCCGGGGGGGGGGGGAAATACGAGAAGAGGGGGGGGTCGGAGTCGTGCCCGGGGAGGGAAAGGAAGGAGGAGGCGTGACCGGCGAGGGGGATCAGCTGGGAGGACCGGGGCGGACGAAAGGGGGGGAATCGGAAAGGGGGAGGTACGAGATTTGTGCAGCTGGTCTGGGGCCATGCCGCCGGGCCCTCTTCTCGAGCCTCGTTTCTTGGCGCCGGAAAAAGCAGTGGCATGCAGCTAACTCCCTGACCACCCCTTTGCGACCGCCCCTAGTCGTGGCACCCACAAGGAAGGGCAGGAGGGAAAGGGACGAATGCGATCGAAGAACAGTTCAACTACATGAATAAGTTGTTGGAGGTCCGCATGGGAGTTCTTGGGTCGGCGCTGAATGGCGCCGCCCCCGACACGCTTCGCGCGCAGGAGAGGGTATTTGTATGTGTGTGTGAGAGAGTGAGAGTGAGAGTGAGAGTGAGAGTGAGAGTGAGAGTGAGAGTGAGAGTGAGAGTGAGAGTGAGAGTGAGAGTGAGAGTGAGAGTGTGAGTGTGAGTGAGAGTGTGAGTGTGAGTGTGAGTGTGAGTGTGAGTGTGAGTGTGAGTGTGAGTGTGAGTATGAGTGTGAGTGTGAGTGTGAGTGTGAGTGTCTTGTGTGCCTGTGTGGCTGTGTGTCTTGCGTGTTTGTGTATCGAAGACGCCTACGGCGAATCACCGCCGCCCCCTGCCTTTTTGGAGACGCCGATGTGGCCGAAAGTTGGATTAGAGCTTGGCCAAGCTATCGGACCATGAGTTCCCCGAGTCGGTTTGGAAAGCTTTCGGGGAACACATGGGAGAGAATGATTATGAACAGGAAGAGGAAGAGGAAGACATAGAGTAGGAGGATGAGGGTTGTTAGGAGTCTCTTGGGGCACCCTTGGGGTCTGTTGGGGGTTTCTTGGGGGCCTCTTCGAGGCCTCTTGGAGGCATCTTGGGGGCCTCCTTGGGCCTCTTGGGGGCCTTTGGGGGTTTCCTGGGGGTCTCTTTGGCCGTCTTAGGGCGTTCCTGGTCCGTCTGACGCCGTCTGGAGCCGTCTTGGGGGCCTCTCTGGGCCGTCTTGGGGCCCTCTTGGGGCGCTTCAGGGCCGTCTTGGAGGCCATGTTGGGCGTCTTGGAGGCCTCTTGGGCCGTCTTGGGGCGCTCTTGGGGCCGTCTTGGGGGGCCCTTGGGCCGTCATAGGGCCTTCTTGGAGGCCTCTTGGGCGATCTTGGGGGCCTCTTGGGCCGTCGGAAGGCCGAAAAGAAGAAAACGCAAAAAACCTTCAAAAACCTAAGGAAAACCAATGATTTTGGCCTCGTCGGGCTCTCCTGGAGAACGTCTTGGAGGCCTCTTGGGCCATCTTGGAGGCATCTTGGGGCCATCTTGGCCGTCTTGGAGGGCATCTTGGGCCGTCTTGGAGGCATCTTGGAGCCATCTTACCCGTCTTGGAGGCCATCTTGGCCGTCTTGGAGGCATCTTGGAGGCCATCTTGGAGCCATCTTGGCCGTCTTGGAGGCCATCTTGGGCCAAGTTGGGGCAACAAAGGCATTGACAGATGGATTTTCGGAAACTTACGGGTGGCCGGCGGGACGGGCCGAAAAGACCACTGTGGGAAGTTCATTTTAGAAAAAAAAAAAAAGAAACCAAAACCAAAAACCTAGAAACTGTCACCACCGCCGGCAGCTGGCTGCTACGTGTTGCACCCTGTTTGATTGTTCTTATTTTTTATAGTTTTTGTATCCCTATGTGTCAGTCTGGAGCTTTTTGCTCTGTCAGTTAGTTGTATGTTTCATGTAAGTTTTTCTTCTCCTTCCCTTTCCATTTCCCCCCCCCCCTTCCTTTCCCCCTCCCCTCCCTCCCCCTTCCCCCCTTTTCCCCCTTCCCCTTCCCCCTCCCTTTCCCCCCTTTTCCCCTCTCTTTGTTGTCTGTCGTATTAACTTTCCCTATTCATCTTCTTGCTGTGGCAAGACCACAGGGGGCGGCGGATCGAATGGCCGTCGGCCCATCCCGCCACCGTGCCTGGGTTGTGGGTATGAAGCCTATTGGGTGTTCATTGGGATCGCGTGGGAGGCCTCTCGGGGGCCTCTTGGAGGCACTTTTGAGGCCTCTTGGAGGCTGCTTTGGGGCATCTTGGGATCTCTTTCGGGCCTCTTGGGGTCCTCTCTGGGCCTCTTGGGGCCTCGTGGGCGCCTCTGGGGGGCTCCTGGGGACCTCTCGGGGCGGAAGGCTCGAATTTGGGGTTCGTGCCCCATCTCTTGGGCCCCCCATTGAGGCTTTGAGGCCGTCTTGGGCGCCTCTTGGGCCGTCTTGAGGCCCTCTTGGGCCGTTTTGGGGCAATCTTGGAGCGTCAGGAAGCCGCAAAGGCGGGAAAGCTCAAATCCTTCAAAAGCTTAACCACTTGAGGCGTTTTGGAGGCCTCGCGGGCCGTCTGGGGGCTATCTTGAACGTCTTGATGCGATCGTTCGGCGACTCGGGACTCGTCTTTGGGGCCTCTTGGGGCGGGGCCCTCTTGGCCCGTCTTGGGGCCGTCTTGGGTCCGAGAAAGAAAAAGTCACGCGACAAGATGCGGGCCAACCCAAGGGAACCGTGGGAAGCCCCGGGAGATTTGAGTATTTGGGGTCCGGGCCACTTGAAGACTCCTCAAGACTGAGGACTGAGTCTCCAGGGATCAGACAAAGGAACCGAGAACACGCCCACTCCGTGCCCAGGAGCACAATGTCGGGTATGTGTGGATATGGTTTGCATGTCTGTGTGTGTGCGTATGCTTGTGCGTGTGCGTGTGCGTGTATGCGTGGGGTTGTGTGGTTGTGTGCGTGTGCGTGTGCGTGTGCGCATGTGTGTGTGCGAGTGTGTGTGTGTGTGTTTGTGTGTGCGTGTGCGCGTGCGTGCGTGAGTGCGTGTGCGTGCGTGTGTGCGTGCGCGTGTGCGTGCTTGAGTGTGTGTGTGTGTGTGCGCGTGTGTGTCTGTGTGTGCGCGCGCATGCTGCCTGTGTGTTCGTGTGTGTATGTGTGTGTGTGCCTGTGTGCTTGTGTGTCCTTGTGTGCTGGAGTGTGTGCGGCATGCGCGTGTGTGTGTGTGTGTGTGTGTGTGTGTGTGCGTGCGTGCGTGCGTGCGTGCGTGAGTGCGTTGCGTGCGTGCAGTGCGTGCGTGCGTGCGTGCGTGGTGAGTGCGGCGTGATTGCGTGTGCGTGTGCGTGTGCGTGTGCGTGTGCGTGTGCGTGTGCGTGTGCGTGTGCGTGTGCGTGCGCGTGAGCGTGCGCGTGCGCGTGAGCGTGCGCGTGCGCGTGCGCGTGCGCGTGCGCGTGCGCGTGCGCGTGCGCGTGCGCGTGCGCGTGCGCGTGCGCGTGCGAGTGCGCGTGCGCGTGCGCGTGCGCGTGCGCGTGCGCGTGCGCGTGCGCGTGCGCGTGCGCGTGCGCGTGCGCGTGCGCGTGCGCGTGCGCGTGCGCGTGCGCGTGCGCGTGCGCGTGCGCGTGCGCGTGCGCGTGCGCGTGCGCGTGTGCGTGTGCGTGTGCGTGTGCGTGTGCGTGTGCGTGTGCGTGTGCGTGTGCGTGTGCGTGTGCGTGTGCGGGTGCGTGTGCGTGTGCGTGTGCGTGTGCGTGTGCGTGTGCGTGTGCGTGTGCGTGTGCGTGTGCGTGTGCGTGTGCGTGTGCGTGTGCGTGTGCGTGTGCGTGTGCCAGTTTTAGTGCGTGCGCGTGTGCGTGTACGTGTGCGGGTGCGGGTGCGGGTGCGGGTGTGGGTGTGGGTGTGGGTGTGTGCGGGTGTGGGTGTGGGTGTGTGTGTGTGTGTGCGTGCGTGTGTGTCGGTGTGTGTGTGTGTGAGTGTGTGTCGTGCGTGCCGTGCGTGCGTTGAGTGAGTGCGTGTGTGCGTGGTGAGTGCGTGTGTGCGTGTGTGTTGGATGTGGATGTGTGTTTGTGTGGTGTTTGTGCGTGCGTGCGTGAGTGCGTGTGTGCGTGTCGTGAGTGTGTGTGTGTGTTCGTCATGTGAGTGCAACTGTCTCCGGGCGCGCGCACGTCTGTGTTCGCGTGTGCATGTCTGCGCGTTTGTGCGTGCGTGTGTGTGTGTGAATGTGTGTGTGTGTGTGCGTGCGTCTGTGTGCGTGCGTGCGTGTGTGTATGCGTGTATGCTCGTGTGTGTGTGTGTGTGTGTGTGTGTGCGGATCTGTGTGTTCTCGTTGGTGTGTGTGTGTGCGCGTGCGTGTGTGAGCGCGTTTGTGTGTATGTGTGTGTGTGTCCGTGTGCTTGTGTGTGTGTGTTTGTGTGTGTGTGTTTGTGCGTGTGTGGATGTGTGTGTGTGCTTATGTGCGGGCGGGCGGGCGTGTGCGTGTGCGTTTGAGTGCAATTGTGTGTGTGTGTGCGTGTGCGCGTGCGTGCGTGTGTGTTTGTGTGTGCGTGTGTGGGTGTGTGTGTGTGTCTGTGTCTTTGGGGGGGGGCGTATGGGAGGGGTGCGTGTGTGCGTGTGTGTGTGTGTTTGTGTGTGTGCGTGTGTGTATGCGTGTGCGTGTGTGTATGTGTGTGCGTGTGCGTGTGTGCGCGTGCGCGCGTGTGCTTGTGAGCGTGTTGGTGTGTGCGTGCGTGCGTGCGTGCATGCATGCGTGCATGCACGAGGAAAGACTGTTCGCGCGCGGGTGTGTGTGTGTGTGTGCCTATGTGTGTGTTCAGTTCCCTGGCAGTCGCAATTTTGCGGCGGCGCTTGCGGCTCAGCGAATCGCCCGTCAAGCATTCGGCTTTGGAACACACCATATTTGAAGCAGTCAGGGGGGTGTTCGCAATGTTCGGCCGAGATTGTGTGCCGAAATTGTTTGCAGCTCAAACGGCAAGAGCATCGCCAGAGGGAGTTCCTGACTCGTCCCGCCCCCCCCTCCTCCCGATTCGCCCCCTCCCTCCTCCCGCCTCTTCCTGGAGGAATTCTGGAGGCAGAGCGAGTGGCAGGGGTACGCCGGCCGCAACGAGGTGCCGTGGCGGATGGCGGATAACCGACAGGTAGACGCAATTAGGCGCAGGTGCAGGTCTGTGCGAGAGGGGGGTCGGCCTCGCGAAGCGAACTCGCCAGGGTCCAGAGCACGGAACGAGGAGGAAGCGCAGGGGCCCGAATAATTGTAAGAGCGCCGCGCCAGATGTCAGACAAACGCGTTGTGATGTTAGCGCCGTACACTGTCCTCCAACAAGCTGCTGTGTCAGCGCAAGTATTGGGCGTTTGATGAACCTCTCAGGTGGAGCAGACGACCACGACACGACGACGCAGCTCATGGACGGGCTGCAGGACCGATGTTTGTTCGTTGATGCCGCCTTTGGAAAGCGACATGTGGGCTGGCACGTACCTCGTTGCCCCATGTCGCTCCTCCCACACCTCCTGCACAGGCGGTGCACAGCTGCAATTGTCAGATTCGTCCTCCTCCTCCTCCTCCTCCTCCTCCTCCTCCTGACCTGTGAGGTGTCTTTCTTGTGTTTCTTTTTTCCCGCGTTTACAGCCCCGCCCCTTCGGCCTGCCGGTCTTTAAAACGTGGCAATCCAGCCGTTGAAGGGGGTGGGTGGGAGCTTTGGTGCCTTCGAGGCCACGCGCGGCCTGGGTTTTCGAGCCGCGGCGCACTCTAGAGAGGAGACCAGCGAAGGCCAGCGCTCCGAACCGTTGCTAGATGTTGGCACCTCTCTGTAGAGCTTCACACACACACACCTCCTCCTCCTCCTCCTCCTCCTCCTGGGTGGGGATCAGCTGCACTTGTCTGATTCATTGCGCCCAGCACCACTGCGGGCACCCCGCTCGCCCCACCCGCCCATCGGGGCCCCGCCCGCTCTGATGGCTGAAAGCCTGCGCGCCCGCCCGTTTTAACGTGCTGCCCGCTCCGACCCGCCCGGGAAGGTCCCGCTCGTCTGAGCCGCCCGGTAGGGTCCCGCCCGCCCGACCCGCCCGTTAGCGCCCCGCCCGCTCGAGTGGTTGAAAGCCCGCCAGCCCAATCCGCCCGTGAGGGCCCAGCGCCCCCGGCCTGTCCGTTTGGGCCCCGCCCGTTCGCCAGGAGTCGGAGTCCGCCGCCTTGCTTTGATGTCCCGCCAGGCCCGCCCGCCAGGGTCGCGCCCGCCCGACTTGCCCGTTCGCATCCCGCCCGCAAAACCTCCCGTTGGGGTTCCGCCCGCCTTCGTCGTCATCGTCGCTGTTGTCGTCGCCGCCGTCGTCGTCGTGTTCGTCGCCGTCGCCGTCGTCGTCGTCGTCGGAGTTGGCGTCGGCGTCGGCGTCAGCGTCAGCGTTAGCGTCGTCGTCCGTCTCGTCGTGGTCCTGTTCGTCATCGTTCGTCGTGTTCATGCTCTTCTTCGTCGTCAACCTCGCAATCGTGTTCGTCGTCGTCGTCCTTCTCGTCGCGTCGTGGTCATGTTCGTCTTCTTCTTGTTCGTCGTCGTTGTCAGCGTCGTCGCCGCTTGCTAGCGCGCAAAGGGGGAGGGCAGTTTTACCCCTGTCCATCTTTCTCGGGGTGGGGGGTTATCGGGGGGGAGGGGGGGCGGTTCCGGAGGGAGGAGGGCGGGGGGGGGCCCAGGCCCAGCGAATGGGGGTTGGGATTGCGCGGCACACGGTGCCCGCGAATGACTTTGTTCCCTACCTAGGCTCTGCCTAGAAGGGTTCTTACTCTCTGGGCTTAAAGGGGCCGGGCAGTGGAAAGCGCCCCGGGCGGTTCCCCCAGTATCCGCCCCGCGGTTCCCCCGGCTACGTCCCCTTAGTTTAGCGTTGCCTATCTCATCTTAGTTTAGCTTATTTCATCTTAGCTTAGCTTAGCTTCACCTTAGCTCAGATTTATATTAGCTTAGCTTACCTTCATCTTAGCTCCGCTGAGCTTTAGCAGAGCAGAGCACAGCATAGCATAGCATAGCGTAGCATAGCATAGCGCAGCACAGCATATCATAGCATAGCCCAGCATAGCATAGCATAGCGCAGCATAGCATAGCATAGCATATCATAGCATAGCATAGCATAACATAGCATAGCATAGCGCAGCACAGCACAGCACAGCACAGCACAGCGCAGCATAGCAGAGCAGAGCAGAGCAGAGCAGAGCAGAGCATAGCATAGCGTAGCAGCAAAGCAAAGGCAAAGCAACAGCAGCGACAGCAAAGCAAAGCACAAGCAACGCAAAGCAAAGCAAAGCAAAAGCAAAAGCAAAGCGAAGGAAAGGCAAAGCAAAAGCAAAGTGCGACAGATGCCGAGCTAGCCTCGATGGTCGGACCGCAGCCCCCGCAAGCAGTGCCTTCCGTAACCATTTCGGCTCAAGTCCGGAGGCCCTGCCACACAGCCGCCCACGCTCATGTCCCGAGGTTGGCGGAGTGAGGCTTTCAGCGGTGTTGCACAGCCCGCCTCGGCACCAGGTGCTGTGCTAGCATGGGTGTAATTCCTTACCTAGGCTCTTCCTAGAGGGCTAGCTTAGCATAGCGCAGCGCTGCATTAGCATAGCATAGCAGAACATAGCCAAGCATAGCATAGCATAGCATAGTAGCATAGCGCAGCAGCGCACAGCATAGCATAGCATAGCATCGCATAGCGTAGCATAGCATAGCGTAGCATGACATATTATAGTATAGCATCACATAGCATAGCCTAGCGCAGCGTAGCATATCATAGCGCACAATAACATAGCATAGCTTAGCATAGCGCAGCATAGCGTGGCATGGCGCGGCGCAGCATAGCATAGCATATCATATCATAGCATAGCAACTAATGCTGCGTTCCTAGGGGCTCCAATTTCTAGGTCGGGTCGCACTGGGGTAATCTAGATATGTTTGCGTTAGCGCGTGAGTCATCTAAGCACGTGGTGCGGCGTGGCCGCTCACAGAACCAGCCGACATGCATCTCTGAGTGTATCCGCCGCTGTTCCTGCCCTTCAGTTTCGGCCGAGTGCCGCGCCTGATGACAGTGCCCTTCGCGCTCGGCGCGGTGGCGGAGCTTGCTCACCAGGCTGGGCTGGCGACGCTGCTGTGGGCCGCGCGGCCGCCAGCCTGTCCGCCGTGCCCCGGCTGCCCGGCGCGCCCGCCGCGCCAACGGGCGCCCGGCCCCCCGCCTGACTTGCGGTTAGGGCATGGGCCCGAGGGCCGCGCCGAGGGCTGCAGCGCGCTGCCGGCTGCGACGGCGGCGGCGGGCCTGGCCGCCGGCCCGGCGGCTAGCGGGGCGGGGCGCCCCGATCACGGAGCCCGCCGTGACGGCGGGCGGCCATGGCAGCAGCAACGGAGTGGGCCTCGGTCTTCAACGCACCCAGCAGCCAGCCTCCTCCCCGCGCCGACCAGCGGCCAGGTGCGAGGCCGACGGCTCTGGCGCGATGGAGTCGGCGAGCTGCAGGAGGAGGCCTTCACCGACTTCCCGGTGCCAGGGCCGCGCCCGTCGAAGTGGCGCCGCGAGTTTCTCGGTCGGAAGTCGGGGGGCCCTCGCGAGCATTGCAAGCGGTAAATGAGCGCCCGGCGTCTCTTCCCGGACATGCGGGGCTCGCGGGGGCACGAGACCGCCGCGCAGGCGCTGGAGCTGATGCTGGGGCACAACGGCCTGGACGTCACGAGCGCCCCGGCGGCCGAGCCCTTCCTTGGCAAAGCTCAGCTGATCGGGCACTCGCACTCGCAGGCAGGCCCGGCGCCAGCGGGCCCAGGCGGGCCACCCCGCGACGGCGACGAGAAGGAGGGCGGCGGCGGCGAGGGCGGCGGCCGGGCAGGCGCACGCGACGAGAGCCAGATCTCCATGGGAGCCCAGAAGGACTTCGGGGACATCCCCTTCGACCCACAGCCCCTCGACTACGAGGCGAAGGAAGTGGGGCGCGACGCGCGGGCGATGAAGCAGGTCAGAAAGGCGCGCGAGGAGCGAGTCTTCGCGCGCAAGGCCGATGGCCGAGGCGGCGCGGCGGCGGCCTGCCCCCGGGGCCGTCGCCGCAACTTTGGCAGCGTCTGCAGAGCGCTGGGGCGCCGGCAGCGTCGGTGGACAGCCCGAGGATGATTGGCGCTTGCTGCGCGACGGCCGGCAGCGTGACTTGCGGCCGCTTCCTCGCCCATCTGGGGGAAGCGCCGATGGCGTGAGTTTTGTTTCGCGTGCTGGAGCCCCCCCTTGTCGCGCCGTGCGTCGGCGGGCAGAGCGACAGAGTCTCCGCGCGGACTGGGCCGACTTCATGATCGACGCGCTGAGCGAGATGACAGGCGGGCCATCGCCTGCTAGCGCTGGATCCGGCAGCCCTGCGTACGGCGCCTCGAGCGCCCGAGGGCCGCCGCGCGCGCAGCGGGGCCGCCTCTCGATGGCGCGAGCGGCGATGGGGGCCCTGAGCGAGCTCCCCGCCAAATGAGGGCATGGCGGGGAGCCCGCCACCCTCGCCCCCCCCGAGATAGACCTGCTCTCCGCGCCTCCAGAAGGGCACCGGCCTCGCGGAGGTGGCGGGGGGCGCCGGCGCGCGGATCGCCGAGGGGATGAGGAGTCAAATCCCGCCGAAAGATGAGGCAGGGAGGAAGCGAGAGGAGAGTGGAGCGAAGCGTGCCCACAGCAACCCTCTTTTGCGATATCGACGCCATTGCGGCCGCCTTGCGCGGCACCTCGCGGCGAGGGGTTCATTGAGATTCGGGGGGCCTGCGCAAGGGCGAGGCCCATCGTGGGCTGTCGGCTGTCGAACGCGCACTTCGGCAAGCCAGAGGACGCGCGCCTTGCCCGCGGCGCGGCCGCTGGGCTCATCGACGCGGGCGCGGTCAAGCCGGCCCCCCTGTCACGCGGACATCGCCGATGTCTTCTACGCCCTGGCCCTGCCGAGGGAGCTCGCGCAGCACTTCGGGCTGCGGCGGCTGGCGGCAGACGACGCTGAAGCGGCTGAGTGCGAGGGCTCCCTGGCGGGCCCTGACGACGCGGCGGCGCCCTGCTTCGCGGCCGCCCCGACGGGGCGGCCCCCGGCGATGGGCGCGCGCCAGGCTGTCCACGAGGAGGTGGCGCGTCGTGCCCCCTCGCTGCCGGACGAGCGGCGGCTGGTCGACAGGCGCGCGGCGCCCTCCCTGGACCCGCTGCTGCGCGCGAAACACGTGGACAAGTCGCGGCCTTCTCGCGAGATTTCGGCGTCGCCGAGAGGGTTGCAGAGCACGCGGGCGATCGCTGGAGCTGGGGCTGCCGACGCACGGCGCGGAGGTTAGCGTCGGCGGCAAATGCCGGGGCTGGAACTTCGACTCGGACGAGCCGGCGGTGGCGCCGAGCTCGGCGAGGCCGCGGCGGTTTCGCCTCGGCGCGCGGGAGCTGCTGTCGAGGCCGAGGGTCCACGGCTGGCTGGTGAAGGC